ACGTTCCGGAAATGTTCTAAGCTAATATTCTGTTTTATAAATTTTGTTCTGTAAACATTTTTTCAGCTTTTATAAAATATCAAATTGTTACTTGGGCATACCTATAAAGTAATATAATCAATGAGCTTTGCGTAGCATTTTTTCGTAAGACCAGAGTTACTAGATAAAGAAGCCTCGTTTGTATATTTATTTGTCTATAATGCAGAATTTACATGGTACCTACATTCTGCTTCCAAGGTTTTTTTAAGTTTACACATTAATTAGGGCTAAGTATAAGATCAGAATTAATACATAAAGTAGCCTTCTCTGTACATTTATTTGGCTTAAATACAGAACTTACACATAAGACAGTATCTTCCTAACCAAACTTTTACAACATCTACACATTAAGTAGCATTTTTCGAGTTGCAGTTAGCCGAGTTTGCAGTTTATATGTATAAGATCAGAGGTAACACATAAAGTAGCCTTCTCTGTACATTTATTTGGCTTAAATAATTTACACATAAAATAATAATATCTTCTCTACCAAAGTTTTACAAAATTTACACATTAGGTAGCATTTTTCAAGTTGCAGTTAGCCGAGTTTGGAGTTTATGAGTATAAGATCAGAGTTAACACATAAAGTAGACTCCTCTGTACATTTACTTGGCTTAAATTCAGAATTTACACATATAATATATCTTCTCAAACAAAGTTTTACAACATTTACACATTAAGTAGTATTTTTCGAGTTGCAATTAGCCGAGTTTGCAGTTTATAAGTATAAGATCAGAGTTAACACATAAAGTAGCCTTCTCTGTACATTTATTTAGCTTAAATAATTTACACATAAAATAGTATTTTCTCGGCCAAAATTTTACATAATTTACACATTAAGTAGCATTTTTCGAGTTGCAGTTAGCCGAGTTTGCAGTTTATAAGTATAAGATCGAGTTAACACATAAAGTAGCCTCCTCTGTACATATATTTGTTTTTTCCAGAATTTATACATAAACTAGTATCTTCCGCCACAAAAGTTTTGCGAAATTTGCACATAAAGTAGCATTTTTCGCTCTGCATACGGCTTATATGAATAATGTATCGTCTGTATATTTATGTGTATTCTAAATTCGGAAATTTACAATAAAACGGTATCTTCTGCAATCTAAAAATCAATTAAATTATAAATAAAAACATTCTCAAACCTGTACTAGTATAAGATCAGTGTTAACACATAAAGTAGCCTCCTCTGTACATATCTTTGCCTATAATGCAGAATTTACACATAAAGTATCTGCCCTCATCAAGGTTTTGCGAAATTTGCACATTAAGTAGCATTTTTCCTTTTGCAGACGGATTTTATGAATGACTGCACCGTTAAAACATAAAGTAGTATCCTCTGTATATTTATTTGTCGTCTTAATGCAGAAATTTGCACATAAAGTGGTATCATCTGCAAGCTAAAATTCAGTTAAATAAAAAAAAAATATTATTTTCCTACCTGTGCTCCGAATTTCTTCATTTCTTTTTAATTTATCATATATCTGAGACGATTTGCGTTTTCGATAGTTTTTACTCATATTTTTATAATTGCTAAAGCGTCGGTCTAAACGATGTGAGTCACGCGACATAAAAATTGGTACTGAGTAATTTAGACAGGCAGCGATATATAATAAATTTTAAATCTGAACATGTGGGTCAGCTGCGTAACATAGGTATACTACCCAGACAGCACACCAAATCCTTAGGATATCTACTGAACATCCCAATATCCACTGAATGTCCAGTCCATGGTAGATATCTATTTTATATCCATGAAATGTAATTTATAGACATGCAAATAGTAATTATATAGCAAATTATTAAAAAATTACGCCATTGTGCTCGCCATTGTGGCTAATAGTACCGTTCAGATATTTAAAATTAATTTTTTTAAGGTGTATTCAATATCCCATGAACATCCACTAAATATGTCAAAGTCTAGGCGCGAATGCAAACCATCGTGGATATCCACTAGATGTTATTTGATTCTGCTTACTAAGTATAGATGGCGATACCACTATCGCATCTACTCATGCTCAACCCGCCGTAATTGAGTTCGATCGAAATTTGTGTCCTAATCACTCCATTAGAGACTGGAGTCGAGAATTTTCATTTATTGCTGAAGAGTCCTAATAAGGATGACTTTCTCCTTAGTGGGCAAAATCAAAGGCAGAGTGTTGAAAATATTTTAAGTGTTGAAAATATTTTTTATCTCTGCTATTTCCTTTCAATAATCATTAGTTACCTATGAACCTCTACTAAAGATACCCATAAAATATTTTGCTAAATATCCGAATATCTTCTATATGCTGAGGTATAGACGGACATTTGGTTGGATATTCATATTGGATATATTGAATATCCACAAAATATATTCTGTGGATATCTCTGGGATTTCTTGTATTTTCTGGAAGATACCCATTAGATATTTTGCTGAATATCCTTTAGGATATCTTCTATATTCTGGATATAGACGGACATTTGGATATCCCTATTAGATCCACGGAATATTTCTGATATCCTATGGATATATTGGATATCCACAAAAGATATTATGTGGTTATCTCTGGAATTTGGTGTGTTGTCTGGATACATGGTTATCTTTATTTCCACTAATAATGATGTGAAGCATAATAAGTATCTGAGTATTAATACTCACTTATGTAAATAATCTTAAAACAAATAAGTACTTTAGCAAGTTTTAGACAGTACTCGTGAAAAACCAAGTAACGAGTACGAGTATGAGTATATTTTTAATTATTCCAGTTAGTGATTAAAAATGTTATAAATATGGCTTACATCCATGAATTTTTCGTTATTTCATTCTAATTTTTCTAATATACATTCACGTATTTGCATTTACAATACTGAGAATAATGATTTATTTTTGAATACCTAAAATTCATTTAACTATGTAAATGGATTCGTATTTATAATCATTACATTTTTCGACAGTTAGGACCAAACGCCAACTTGCTAAATAACACTTCGTAATCCTAACAACTGACACCACATATATATGCACTGTACAAACTGTCTGGCAAAACATAAAACGTGAAATAGTAATAATAATAATAATAATAATAGTAAGCAGTGTAGTTTTGCCAGTAAGATACAACAAACAAGCTGAGGCTGCCTGGGCGAGTCGATACTCGTACTCGTTAAAGGTAAAAGTACTCAGGAGTACCTATTAATGAAAACTTTGTGTACTTAATTACAATTTTGAGTTCACTTTGAGTACTTAAGTACAATTTTGAGTACACTGTTACGCAGGTTTTTGGTATCACAATTTATTTCAACTGAACTTTAACAATAACAATGCAACTGATAACATTAACGTGTAACGCCTATCATAAAACTGAAAACTGACGTCAGGATCCTCGGCTTATATAGCTTTCTTAACCCTTCTCGAACCTTCTTGAAATGCCTAGAATTTTCTTGACAAATATTGATGTTTCCAGACATTTCTAGACTATTCCATCTTCTTTTACTCGTACTTTTACTAATGATGATCGCAGCACACTATATAGTGTGATGGATGACATTGCACTTCTTCTCGTATTTGTTTTCTATAACGGCCGCAGGTCACTGCAGGGTGTAGTGTAACAATACTTTACTTGTACTGCCCAGCTGTGCGTAGTGGTTTCTTGTCATTATGAGTTTTACAGATTTAAATGTACATTTTATAGTTTTAATTAACCCGGGCATTTACCACTGGACTGGTAAAAGCCCACCAAATGAACACTTTAAAAAAATGGGACAACTAGAGACATCTCTCGCGATGTTAATAATCTGCAGGACTTTGATGATCTGAGATGATGGATATTTGTAGTCTGTAGACACCCATCAGCATCAACCAGCAGGTTTTTTTTGAGTTAACAACCTGCAGGACTTTAATTAGTTGTGAAGATGGCTGTTTGTAGACACATTTCAGCGTCAACCAGCAGGTTTTTGACGGGTTAATGACCTATAGGACTTCGATGAGCTATGAAGATGCAGCTGCCTCTAGACATGTCTCAGCGGTAACCAGCAGGTTTTGACAAGTTAAGAGGCAAGTTTTATATACCCTTGGAGAATACATAATTGGCCTAAGTTTATAATGTTAATTGAAACTAATGCAGAATTTAGCTATGAAATTAGAATCTCCATTTAGTGTAAAACGTGGGATACGTCAATACTTTCTATTAGGGTCGCTATTGAACTTTGACTTCATAATATAAATTACTAAAATACTTTTTTTTGTGGGAAAATCAGTATAAGTCGACTTATAAGGTATAGCATAGATTTACTAAGCTTCTTAATTTTTGACTCCTTTGCTACCTACGATAGATTCATGACAATAAAAATAGGTCCATACTTGCAAATATTTACTTTCTTATTAATGTAGGTGGTGATGTCCATAAATTGTTCAAAAGCAATACAAAAAGGGTCCATATATGAAACTTCTAGGAGTCCAAATGGACGTCCAGGAGTGGGGCATTTGTGTATTCCAATCGATGTCTTTCGGTAAAATGTTCCTTTGGACAGCCGATATGTCCATCAATGGACTTCCCATGGACATCCAATGGATTGACTTTTGCTCTCTGGGAACGTGTGATCACTATTCACATATCTATCTAAACTTTGAATACCTCGCTAAGAACGCTGTCGTATGCCTTTCCTGTATCGTTAGTATAAATAAATAAGTTCACACATTTTCTAATAAATTTTTTATTTTCATATTATCTTCTTATTTTATAACCAATTTATTTACCATTGGTTTTTCTTCAGTACACTCGTGTATACATTTCATTATAGATACTATAATTTTTTTAAAAAATACAAAACTAATATAGACTTCCAATAAAATATTTCATAAAACAACGTATTTTTTTTTGATTATTATTAATACAGGATTTTTTTATTTACACAAACGTACTAATAGTCTTTCAATTCACTTAAATTACGAAACTAAAGATTATCTCGTATGAAGATCATCATCATACGGATATTTCTTGGATCTGAACACGTTTTTTCATGGTTCCTGGAGTCACAGGAATTCCTTGTGGCCTGAGTATTCCTATTTGATTTGTACTAACTGACGGCAGACATTCCACCGCCGGTGAAGAATGGGCGACGCTGCTACGGCTGTGAACGACGTCTTGACTGGTGCTGGTCACGTCGGGGGGATGAAAACTGGGGTGAATATTTTCTATTCGTTTAGCTGGCGGTGGCGAAGATTTAAAATTTTGTATAGGAAGTTCGGTTATTTGAATATCACTGTGTTTTTGCTCGTAACTATAGTCGCTCATGTACTTGTGACGGCTACATTTTAATTCTTGGGGTTGTACTTCGAAGGCTTTGTCGTAACATTCGCCTGAAGAACTGCTCGAGCTACCTGAAAATAAGATAAGTCAAATTTGTATACATCTACACAAACACGCAAAGACATCTACTGTTGACCTAATAACACAAGTCGACAAAAAAACTATTTTTCTATGGGTTTCTGTTCTAATGCTTGAATTCTGATTCCAGACATCAGAAATATTTAAGTTTTAATTTTTAGCATTTAAAGTTTGCTTTTGTCTAATTTACGTCAATAAGTAAGTTCTAAAGATTTGAATTAATCATTTTATGAGCAACATATAGTAGCACTTTGATCAACCCGATAGCAAATTGCATATTATTTGTGAAGGGCGCAATAGTAAGTATCTACTTGTCTATTACAGCTGAAGCAACCGCTTTTGTGTGTTACTAATATAGCGTTTTCGACTGGTGATACTGGTGCGCACTTTTTAACACTCGTAAGAGCAGTGCGAACCGGGTTAGTTTTTGAATTTTCAGTTGGAATCAGTTGAACTCAAAAAAATAAACCACTTCGCATTTTTGTGAACCGAGTGTAGAGAAAGGTTTTCAGTTTCAGTTCAGTCGTAACAAATATGACGATGGCAAATAAAGAGTTGTTTCTAAAATATGTAAATTTTTTAGAATTTGTAAAGAAATATTGGAAACTTCTTTGTCAGATTAAGACGAAGAAGATTTAATTAAGGCCAAGTTTAATAAAATTAAACTGCCGAAAAATAAAAGATTAGATTGAATCGGTGGTGTCGCACCTGGATGACTCTCAGGTAGGTACCATAAATAGTATACGTTGACATCTTAAACATAAGTAAGTTTAGGTTAATTTGTTGATAAAATATTCTATAACAACTTAAATAAATGTTTAAAATGAAAGCTTGGCTTGGATTTTAATTGGAATTTGGTAGGTAATACCTCTAGTTATCACTCAGATGATAGCTGTCAAATACAATACAATGGGGTGGTCAACTGCGTCTTTGGTTGGGATAAGTTTGTATGAAGTCACTAAATTGAACCAGTGCTAGGCAACGAAAATTTGCACTTCACAAGTGTGAGTGTGAGTGTGACCAGTCGAAAATAAAATTATAAAAAAATATATAAACATCAGTAATTTTTCTTGAAAATTCGAAAAATTTCTCTAGTTTCAACAAAAGCAAACGTTAATCAAAAAAATTATTTTTTCTTTTATTTGTGACATAGGAGAAACCAAAATATCACATGCAGAAATCAGACCCAAAAATCGCGTCGACCGGTGTAATTATTATAAGCCTTTGTCAGTTCAGTATTAAAACACATGTATATATTAAAATATAGTGACTACTAAAATGTGAAAAATATGAATTTAAAAAAATATCAATAAATAAATTAGCCGTTCAATTTTGAGAATTTATGTTACACAATCTAGGTCTCTTAAGTAGGGAAGAATGCCAGAAAATCGTTTAGTAATTTAATTGCATATTGATAAAATTCCACAAAAGCATCAAACACAAATACTTCGATTTTTTGAGAAAATCAAAGTATGTGGATCAAAATTATGAAGACTAGTCTTCATAATCAAAATACTATGATTGCAGAACACTTTAATCTCTCACCTAACAAAACAAGACAAGAGAATTTGTTACACATACTTTGATTTTCTTTTACTATACGGAGAATGGTCGCACTGCGCAGCTTTCTAAGTGCCCTTTGAAAGGAGATAGAAAACTCCACCATTTTGATCCCTTATTACGTGTTGCCTACATCTTGGCGCAATATTTTTAATAGGTGCATTTTAATCATCCGTTTTTGCTTCGGAATTGTCGGTTTTCTTGTTTTAATCTAACAGGTTAAAACGACTAAACCGACAATTCCGGAAGCAGAAGCGGATGATTAAAACGCACCTGATATTTTTCTTGCTGCTGTCAGTGTCACAGTGTCACAGTTTATTGCTAAAGAATCAGTTAGCTCACTCGGAGCAGTTGAAAGTTCCAAAATAACATCCACTCCAGGGTTACAAATTTAGGATACGCAGAAGACTGCTGTTATATTATAGGCGGTCGTCATATATTGTATTATCCAAGTTGCGCAGGGTATAAACTGGAACATTAAGATCAAAAGTGCCGACGCAGAGTGAGCGATCTGATTCTTTAGCTATAAACTGTGGCATAGGAATCAAAATGGCCGTACCCCACATACTTTGATTACTATACGGGGCAAGAGAGAGGTCAGACACGCCCAACATAGGGCGCGGCCATTTTGAACCCTATGACACAGTTTATAGCTAAAGAATCAGATCGCTCACTCTGCGTCGGCACTTTTTATCTCAATGTTCCAGTTTATAAACTGCACAACTCAGATAATACAATATATGACAGCCGCCTATAATAAAACAGAAGTCTTCTACGTATCCTGAATTTGTATCCCTGGAGTGGATGTTATTTTGGAACTTTCAACTGGTCCGAGTGAGCTAACTGATTCTTTAGCAATAAACTGTGACTCCAAAAATAATATTCATTGACACTGACAGCAGCAAGCAAAATATCAGGTGCGTTTTAATCATCTGCTTCTGCTTCCGGAATTGTCGGTTCAGTCGTTCTAACCTGTCAGATTAAAATAAGAAAACCGACAATTCCGTAGCAAAGCGGATGATTAAAACGCACCTATTAAAAATATTGCGCCAAGATGTAGGCAACACGTAATAAGGATTCAAATTGGCGGAGTTTTCTATCTCCTTTTAAAAGGCACTCAGAAAGCTGCGCAGTGTGACCATTCTTCGTATAGTAAAATAAAATCAAAGTATGTGCCGTACCCTATGTTGGGCGTGTCGGACCTCTCTCTTACACCGTATAATTATCAAAGTATGTGATTTGTTAGGTTAGGTAACAGATTTTTACAAGAAATGTACTAGATATAAAAAAGTATTAAGATTTTTTTCATAACGATTATAAAGAAACAAGCCACTGATATTACAAAATTCTGCGCAGTAGATAGTGCTACTCACTTCCACACTACAAACTAATCCTTACTTATTTTCTGTGAGATTTAATTTTAAGGCGAACCTTTCTGATTTCTCAAGAATGTGCTAGATCTAGTACAATTTATTAGATTGACAATGATTTGCTTTCTGATACGGTAGTTTAGCTTTTTAGATTAGAAAGGCACCGCCTTGTATATATTGGACCCTCCGAGCGCTCGGAGATTGGACCGACTTCTCGTTGAATTATGGCGATGTTGTCAAATCGACGTTGATGTTAAATTTTTATGTTTTCTGTTCATCTTTTAAAGAAATATTTTTTTACCATGCAATTTACTAACTTTGAACTGATGGTTAAACCCAGGCAATATTCTGTTTGGAGAATGTCATACAGGAATATTTATATGCTGCTCTAGAAATATTCTCGTTAAAGTACATAAATAAATAACATCCTATAAATATTTATAGAATGTTCTAAACAATATTTAGATAATTTTATTTGTTATATATAAATAAGAGCATTTAAATATGTTATATTTCGAATTGTAACTAATGAATTATTTATTTGCAAGAAATTTTCTATTTTGACTTTGTTTTCATTTCCCACATTTTTGTCAGACGAATCTAGTGTCATCAATGATGCAAAAAAGTTATTTGTGGTTTGTGAAACTAGTAGTTGGTGGTGATCATTAAACTTATTATACTCTAAGGTAGAGTAATGGTAGTGATAGAACTGCATGTCGCATGACCTTCTATACAAAACCTAACCTCAAGTACGTTTTCACTTTTGCTGTTTTCAGTTTTCTGCCTATGGTTTCCTGCTTGTATGATTCTGTATCTGTAACGTGTACAGGGTGGATTAACCCACGGCACTTTAGCCTGACTAGGCCCTTTATGTGTTTTTCTAAGTAGATATGCACCTCTTAGTTCGTAATCAACCCACAGATTTATTGCTGTTGACAACGTCGCCAAGAGGCGCTTTTTTAATATTGGTTGGTGATAGCCAATCGTAGAGGATAAGCTTTATAGTCTTATCTTCTTGTTCGCTCCCTCTGCAATGTGCGGATTCTTAGGCGCAGATTTTCTCTAGTCATAGTCAAATATTTGTTTGCTTTAGTGTTATTAGGGTAACTTAAAAGATCCCTGGCAAGTCCGCAGCTTCTTGTTTTATCCCAGGGCCAGTTCCAAAAAGTATTCGACGTCTCGCTTCACCATATTTCACATCAGGTTCTATTCCATCGTGCAAAGGCAGGTTATTGTCATCAGACCAACCTCCTTGATGTAAGTATCAAGAACAGTGAGACTAATAATGACTACCATGGCTCTGATCGATGTGGTTCGATATGGCTTCTATTATGTTAAGTTACGCTGTTCTTTAAAATAAATCTGGTTTGCGGATAGGTGTCAATTTTTAGGTTTTCAGTACCCAGACAACTGTACCGTACGTTAGAATAAGTCTTATGATGGCCATATAAGTCCATGCAACAATTCAAGGGGACAGACCCCAGATACGTCACTTCTGTTACAAAGTTTTGTTTTGTATTTAGGAGCTCTGGTGGTTTTAATTTCATTTTCTTTATTTTCCTTGTGAAAAGGACCATTCCTGTCTTCTTGGGATTGACAGACAGTGAATGACCCTTGTACCACTGTTCTATAACTTTGAGAGCTACTTCCATTCTTTCGCAGAGTATGTTTTCAAAATTCGCTGTTTGCAAAATGACTAGGTCATCTGCATACGCTATTGTGTAGTGACTGTCATTATTAAGGTGGCTGATGAGGGTGTCCAGGACTATGTTCCACAGTAGAGGTGATAGGCTGCAACCCTCCCTGTGGACATTCCCTCGCAACAGAGCCTTATATTCACATATGTTTATTGCTCGCTTTGAAACCATGTTATGTACCTATCCAACCACGAACCATCTGTGAAATATTCCTGTATATTAGTGAGTGTATTATCTAAGAAAAGGTCGTCCTATGTCTATGAAAACACCCAAGGTGGAATCTTCATCTTCCAGTAATCTCTATTCGGCCAGCAACTAGGTAAAGCGCTGAATCAGTAGATCAGCCTGTTGATTTGGGTGTAGTGGGTGTCGTAATCATCACATTTCTTATGTACCTTTCGCATAGCCTTTCCAGTGTCTTTATGGAAAACGATGTCAGGTTAAATGGTGGGTATATTTTTGGGACATAGTAATCCGCCCTTCCAGGTTTGGGTATAAAAACTACTTTTACCTCTCATGAGTCTAATTTTCTATTTTAAATGTGTTTATTGATATAAACAATACAAAATTTGTTCATTTTAATGGCTATTATACAAAGTTAACACCCTGTGCACATTATTTTTAAATCACTTTTATAATATTTTTAGAATATTCGTACAATATTCTAAAAATATTTATAAAACATTGTGTTAAATGTTTTCAGAACAATCAAAGAATATTAAAAACAGTCCATCTCGTATTTGCATAAAACATGCCAAGAATGCTCTTAACATAATGAAAGAATATTCTGTGAATATTCTATGGACGTACTTCTGCTGTCTGGGAATGCACAATAAGCACAGATTCTTTATATATTCCTGATATACTTTCGTTTTTAGTAATTGAACCGATACATACTAGTAGAATTGAAGAGTTATCGGCGAAAATATAAATTGTGTAGCGGAAATCCGTCAGAATTCTGACTTAATTTCTAAAGTAGATTCAGGGTTTTTTACCAAAACATACATATAAAGTGACATATAAAACAATTGTTGTAAGGTAGTGTTTTCGATCTTAAAGATGTATTTTGAGTTATTTTCCTTAAAAATGTACTTAAATAGACATATTTATGCCGTTTTTGAATTTTGTGTTATTGAAGATAATATACTTTAGGACAGTGGTCGCCAACCTGTCGATCGCGAGCTACCGGTAGCTCGCGGAGGCAATTCTGGTAGCTCTCACAACGATTTTAATTTAAAAAATACAAACTGCAAAAATCAGAGAAGCATCCGAAAATTCCACAAAAAAATTTAATTGTCATAATATTAAACATAAACGCCATCAAGCTAGAATCGGCTAGAACCGACCAGCCGGACCAGCGCGTTAGTGTTCGAGAAGGATCAGGATTGCTTTGAACGAGATAAATACGAACGGCGCCGGCGCGGCGACATTGCGCTTAGTTTAAAACTAAACGCGTAATCAACGTCCAGCGGTTGGGTTAGTAGAGAACAACAAAAAATATTATGGCAAGTAGTTGTAAGAAGGTAAAGACATACCACTTTTATTCGGAATGGGAAGAACAATACTTTTTGACAGAAGTTAAAGATAAAAATGTGTGTTTGTTATGTAATGCTTCGGTCTTCGTTGCTAAAAAAGGAAATATTAAGAGACATCATAAAACTGTACATTCTAATTTTGAAAAATGATTCCCACTACATTTTGCCGCCAGAAAGGAGAAACTGAAACAGTTAGAAAAGCAGTTAATTGGACAACAATCAATATTTTTTAAGAACAGTCGACAAAAATAAGGCTGCAACTGAAGCATCGTACCGTGTGTCCCAGATAATTGTACAAAAAAAGAAACCTTATGAAGACGGGGAAATGATAAAACAGGCGTTTTAAGAAGCTGCTGATTCGTTATTTGCCAACTTTAGAAATAGAGACGAGATAGTTTTAGCTATAAAATCTATGCAACTTTCTGCTAATACAGTGATGAGACGTGTAGAAGTAATGAGCAATGATATTTTTTCACAGTTAAGAACTGACTTAGATAACTGTGTTTATTTTTCACTTCAACTGGATGAATCAACAGATGTCGTTGACACTGCCCAGATGGCCGTGTTAGTCAGGATGGTTTTTAGTGATTTTACGATTAAAAAAGATCTTTTGAAGTTTATTCCACTGAAAGGACACACTACTTGACAGGAGTTGTTTTCTCATTTAAAAAATATTATTTCTTTCGAGAAAATTCCAATATCGAAAAAAGTAGGCTTGACAACCGATGGCGCTCCAGCTATGGTGTGTTGTGATAAGGGTCTGATGGCGTTATGTCGTAAAGATGAAACTTTTCCGCAATTTCTCTGTTACCACTGCATTATCCATCAGCAAGCATTATGTGGAAATTTCCTGAAACTAAACAACGTTATGAAACTGGTGGTAAAAATTGTGAACAAGATTAGAGCTCAAGCGTTACAAAGAAGATTATTCAAAACCTTGGCCGATGAAGTTGATTGTCAATACGGGGACCTACTTCTTTACTCTGAAGTCCGATGGTTAAGTAGAGGACGGGTGCTGAAACGTTTTAATGATGTCCTATCTGGCATATTTCAATTTTTCAAACAACGCGATGAACCGACTCCGGAACTAGAAAATTCAATCTGGCTTAGAGATTTTGGTTTTCTCGTGGACATTACAGAGAAATTAAACGAATTTAATTTGCAGCTTCAGGGGAGAGACAAAGAACTAGCGGAAATGATTTCTGATATGAAAGCGTTTATCAAAAAGCTGGAATTTTGGGAACAAAACCTAATTTTTCCTATTCTTTCAGAAAAAATATCTCAAAATCCATTAGAACCCTATGACAGCAAATAACATGTAGAAATAGTTTCTACCCTGAAGAATTACTTCAAAAATCGTTTTAAGGATTACAACGAAATGGCTTTAGTAGCGCAGTTTATTGTTTCACCCTTTATGGAAATTGATATCCAACAGTTTGCAACTTGTGTTATGCAGAACTTTGGCGAAGACATCGCTGCAACATAAATGGAAGTATTGAGTTTCAAAATGATTTAGCCTTAAAATCGTTAGTCTCGAGTACCAAATGTATCTGGCCCATTGTAAGTAAAGACAAATATTCAGTTCTATGCCGTGTTGCCTTGAAAGTAAAAGCATTATTCAGTTCAACCTATTTGTGTGAATCTTCTTTTTCCAATATGAAGTTTATTAAAAACAAATATCGCAATCGACTTACAGATGAACATTTGGATAATTGTATTTGAATGGCTGTATCAAATTATACTGCGAACAATAAAAAAATTATCGATGAGTCTGAGTGTCAGCTTTCTCATTGAACATGCTTTTTTATTTTTCAATGTTTATGTTCATGATAGTGCGTTACTTTTTTGTTGTTCTTATTACCTATTTTTAAATCTTACGTGACATGTCGTTGTGGCTGGATAAAAGTTTGTGTTTATTTATCAAACACCTTCGTTTGGTAGGTAGGAATGTAGCTATGAACAAGTACGTAATAGTAATATTAGTTATTTTGTTATTAGTTTATTATTAGTACCTATGTATTATGTATTACCAGTTAAATAGTAAAATAAATACATAGAATGATAAATTAACTGTGGATTATTTCATTTACGTTGCGTTACGTGGCTTCCGTATGGGTAACTCGCTGTTTATTCCAAAATTAACAAAGTAGCTCAACACATTGAGAGGTTGGCGACCACTGCTTTAGAAAGTTTCAAAATGTTAGGTGAGTCATGTGTAAATAAAAAATATTTCTCATAAACTTTGTAACGAACCACACAATGCAAAAGTATAGGTTGGTTTAACAAACAAACGTAGAATAATGTTCCGAAAAAGGGTAATTGACCAACTTTAATTTTAGAATGAAATTATAAAATTGGTGCCATTCGTTTTTAGACATCATTCTCGACACTTTTAATATGTACATGTATTTCAATAGAAGCACCCTATATAGTAACCTGTTTCGTTTTGAACTTCTTTCCGTTTGTGCTTCTTTTTCTCCTTGTCCCGTTGGTGATAGATACCGGCGAAAATGAGGACGTTGAGTAACAAAAGGAAACATCCTACAGCGATGGTGATCGTGAGGGCAGTAGTGTAACTCTGATAGTGACTGGAAGCCAATTTTCTTAGTAGATTATTCGAAGTTTTAGTTTGACTTGGAAGATATATTGTTTGATTTGGAGGGCATTCTGTAGTTGTTGCCTAAAAATTTACGTTCATAAATAATATCAACAAATACGCTTGATATTTTTTAATATGGAATTGTTAGGTTTCGATGTGTTACCTGTAAGGCAGTATCCGATTTAGGTGGCAAAGGCGTTGAACTAGTACTCTCCGACGTCGATGTAGATGTTGTAGATATTGTAGTAAAAAGAAAAGGAGGTTTTTCTTTTACTTGAGGCCGAACATAACCTAAAACATTTAATTTATGGTTTTACATATTTTAAAATTTTTACAATTTATAAAGACCAAAAAAGGGTTATACATATAAGATCTGAAATGTATTAAGTATATTTATAATAAATCCCATATAAAGTGATCAGATACATAAACTGTGAATTAAAACAGATCTAGGTTAATGACATGCGCATCATACGTTCTCATTTACATTTTACTTTGATTAGAATATCATCATTTATATCGAGGGATATTGGTATTTAGTTAGCCTGAAAAGGCTCTAGCAAACAAAATAATTTTTTGGTCGAAACAGGAATTTGCCGGTGAGGCGTAGCCGAGGCCAAGCAACTTCTGGTAAGGCTAAAGAAGATCATACGGCCGAGGTGCACACAACATTTTTTAGGCGACTGTATCATCAAGTATAGCCAATAGTTTTTTACATTATTGTTTTTTTAAAGAGGCTGTAAAGTAAATGCGGCCAAAAAAGTGACAATTTAAGGATGTTAATAAATCCGTAAAATGTAAGTTATATTTTGAAAAATTTCTGTTATTAATTAGGTATATAATAAATTATCCATATCTCAAATATGGTCAGCAGGGCTCGCTTCAAGGCCGGACTGCCTGGACATTTTTTCGGGGCGGCAAATCTAAGGGGCGCTATTTTCACTGTCAGAATGTGATAGAATATTATAAATATTAAAATTAAAATATTAATATTAATAGCATACCGCCTTTCATTTGTTAAAACATTTCTTATCAATGTTTTTACAAGAAAGTTAAAATACTTATTTTTTATCAATATAGTTGTAAAGAAAATAGGTAGTTACGAAAAAATAATTATTAAATAAGAAACACGGGTGTTATTTACACTACCTAATATAACCGCGCATCGCAAGTAGGGTGCCGCATGAACTTCTGAATTAGGACTAGACAAGAAATTACTCGTTTATTGTCTTCAATTATAAAAGGGCTCTCTTATTACAGCATAATGTTATTTTTACAAATTCGTCGGTGGTGATAACAAGTGCAACTCTCAAATATACATTCTGTTCTGGTTCAATACTCAGTGTGATTTGTAATTTTTTAAGGTAAGTTACCCCTTAACTTAGCGAATCTACGATATTAGGGTTAGTGGGTGGATACATAACATGCTCTCAAAGCGAGCAGTAAACGTAAGTGTAGAAGATGTCAATAAAAGAGGCTTGGTTACGAAGCGATGTCAACAGGGAGGGGTGCTATCACCTCTACTGTGGAATATGGTCCTCGATACATTCATCAGCCGCCTCAATAATGACAGTCACTACACAATAGCATATGCAGATGACCTGGTCATTCTGCAAACAGAGAATTTTAAGAACATACTCTGCAAAAGAATGCAAGTAGCTCTAAAAATTATAGAAAAAATTATAGAACAGTGGTGCAAGGACCATTCACTGTTTATCAATTCTAAGAAGACAGAAATGGTCCTTTTTCACAAGGAAAAGGATGAAAATAGAATTAAACCCTCCAGAACTGCTAAACACAAAACTAAACTTTGCAACAGAGGTGAAGTACCTAGGTCTCACCTTTGACAGCAAGTTAATATGAAACTCGCACTTATAAAACAGAGTTAAACGAGCATACATTGCTTATGAACAATGCCGCCGAACCGTGGGGCGTACCTGGGGTTTCTCCCCAGAGTTGTCGCATGGACTTACACGGCTATCATAAGACCTATGCTAACATACGGTGCAGTTATCTGGGTACCGAAAACTCAAAAATTAACAGCTATCCGTAAACTAGAACAAATTCGAAGAACAGCATGTCTCAACATAACAGAAGCCATGAAAACAACACCGACCAAAGCCATGGAGGTCATTCTTAGTCTCATTCCTCTTTATATTTACATCAAGGAGGTTGCTCTGACGACAATGATAGGCGCCGAACGGTTGGGATAGAACCTGATGTAGGATCTGGTGAGGCGAGACGTCGCTTTTGTCAGGAGGTGCTCGATATGCTCCCACTGCTTCAAGCGAACATGGACTCCATCTCACCGAGATATATCTTCCATAAGCCATATAAAGTTATAATAGAACAAATAGAAGAACCAGAAATGGCAAGTACGATTCATATCTACACCGACGATTCTAAAACAAAACAAGGCTCAGGATGTGGAATATACTTCAGATTCTTAAACCTAAACATAAAATGGGCTGTAAGCAATAGTGCCAGTTTAGTTCTCACAGAGGTAACGGATATTCTCATAGCAGCAAAAGAAATAACCAGAAACAATATCACTGGAAGGAATATGCTCATCTATACAGATAGCAGACACGCACTACTCACCCTGAACAGACCAGAAATTTAGATTAGATTAGATTAGATTTAATTAGAACTATGGGCCATGTGGCCTCCCCCACCTCGATATTTTCAGATCTATTGTAGATATCCTTTAATCATTGTTTAGAGTACCCTGTCTAATGCGGTCTTTTCTAGTAAACTCCATAGACTGGGAAGTAGTTCTCCGGTATAGCTAGTTGCCCTTGGTTTTTCTTCTCCAAGTGTAAGGAATCTCAGTCTTACTAGACCTTCGCAGTAGCACAATACGTGTTCTGCCGTTTCCTCTTCTTCTTGACAGAATCGGCACAAGGCCTCTTCTGTCAGACCGATATTGAACATATGTTTGTTAAGCTTACAATGCCCTGTTAATAGACCTACTAGTATTCTAGTATTTTTCCTATTAAAGCTTAGTAGATGCTGGGTGAGTTTAGACGATGGTCCCTTTAAGAACTTTTTGGCCTGTCTCTGTCCAGGTTAGTTTTCTAGGAATTTACTCAGAGTTAGTACTAGAATATCACGAAGATTTGGCCGAAGTATCTATCAAAAATGTGGTCACGTCTTGCTAATTCACTAGCCAAGAAAGTAGCCAACCAAATACTATTTGGACCTGTCCCTTTCTATTGGCCTGACAAAATCAGTAGTGACAAACCAAATTAAAGAACATTCCCTTGTGAAATTCAAGATAAGATGGGATGAAATAAGAAACTGCAGAGTTGCCAGAGAGCTCTTAAGTTATCCTGACAACACTGCAGCAAACAAATACTTGACTATGACTAGACAGAATCTGCGCCTAGTCACAGGCATTCTGACTGGTTACTGCCAAGTTCGGAAGCATCTCCATATCATGAGGTTGTCAGAATCCGCACTCTGCAGAAGGTGCGAACAAGAAGATCAGACGATCGAGCATATTTTTTACGATTGCTCGACGCTCTCATTTATTAGAAGATTTGTGTTCGGTGAGTATCGGCTAAGACCGGCCGATATAAGAGAAGCACCTCTTGGCGACGTTGTTAACTACATTAAATCTGTAGGCTGGCTTACGAGCTAGGAGGTGCCTATCATCTTAGGAGGATGCATAATGGGCCTAGTGAGGCCTAAGTGTCGTGGTGGGTAACCAACCCTTCACACGTTACAGATACAGATCGGGTAAAAGGCCAAAATTATTAAAACAAAAAACAAATTTTCGTTTAAATTTCATAATCTTTTTTAAGGTAGGTATTTGAAAAAGCTCCTTCCCAGATGAAAATTAAATTTTGAAAACAATTTTTGGACATAACAGATAAATTAATTAAAAGGTTAAAAGACTTATTTATGTTCCGTTAAAAAATCTAAATTTAATTTTCATCTGCCAAGGAGCTTTTTCAAATACCTTAAAAAAGGTTATGAAATATACGATATACCCTAGAGCTAGATTTTTTTTGAATAATGTTTGCCTTTTACTGACCAGTAGACCCTAATTCCTTTTTTTCTTTAACTACTGGATGCGATCCCTTTTACGAAAAGCTACGAATATTTTTATTTAGTTTTCTAAATAAAATTTTCTTAAAAATAGCAAAAGTTTGTTAGATATTTTATAAAATTAAAACAAAATATTTATTTACAATAAATTGGACAAGAAAAATGCCCTATTTTATATCATTTTAGATTTTGAAGCAAAATTGTGTAAAATGCAAGTGCTTATAAATTTTGCAATTTGAAAGGTACCTGGTGTGGTAGATTCGTTATTATTTTACTACTATTACATATTATAAATATAAAAAACATATAAAACTGCTTAATCGTTCCCCTAGATCTTAAAGAACATAAAAAAAATGCAGTACTTGTCTAATTTAACTAAACTGTTGTAAGACAATTTCCTTATAATTTTTTTTTATTTCAAATACTTTGTGTATCTTCCAGAATTTCCGAGTGGCGCAAAAAACTATCTGGTTGCGAATATAAAAATGAAGGGAGAAAAAGGAAATGCAAAGGCAAAGACAAGCTGGCACTTTACTAAATTATTTAGAGAGTACATCGGGTAATACCAAAACTAATGACAACTCAAAATGTTCTACATCAAAGCCAGCATAGAGAGACACTAACAACAGAGAATCGCCTGAGAAAAATGAGGCTCAATAAATGAACGATATATCTGATCTGATACTTGCAACTGACTGTGGCAGCCCTCTAAAGCCAAATGAGAGCACTATTAATACCAACGTGGTACCTACAGAAAGCGTTCAACAACCTTTAAGTACAGATCCAGCACTCTGGCTAATGATACTACCAGACGCCGAAAGATTACTTGGTAAGGTAAGGTCCACCTAAACCACTCTACAATTAAAGATTTCCGTACGATGAGACTGGTTCAAAATTTAGCCCTAATTCTTATAAAAGAATGTTAAGTAATGGAGAACAAATTTTAAGTGGCTGTCTAGTGTACTCTGTCTCAAAAAACTGCGTTTATTGCTTTTGCTGCAAAAATTTTGGCTGTGTACTTAGTTCCCTTTCAAAGGAGAGGTTTAAAAGTTAAAAGCATCATCTAAATCAAACTCTAAAATAAAAAAATAATATTTAAAAATTTTTTTTTTAGAAATTTATAAATTATTTAAAATAATTGCGTTTGTTTTTAAAATTTCTTTATGTATCGGGAATATGAAACTTTTTTACCAAACAGTGTTTTTTCACCAAAACTTTGGAGGTCGCATGACTCACTATGATTAAAACAAACCAAGTTCCTGCTACCTGTCTGTCTGGTACAAACCTATCAACTTCAGGAGTTTTAAACTAAATCCTGCAAATGAGACATAAGACGTTTCAAAGTTGTAGGTTCTTAGTCTATAATAATTGATATGTTAAAAGGCAGTTAGAAAGTTTAATAAAAATGGCAGTAGCTACTTCTGTAGATATTAACGAAGCTTTTAATAGTGCCCAAACAAGATCTATAATTAACGCACTAGCAATGAAAGGGGTACCAGTAATCCTGTGTAAGTTTATAAAAGCCAGCCTTAAAGAAGGGGTAATAAGATCATCTCTAGGAGAAGCTACACTGATGGCTAAAGCTGACAGGAGCTGTCCCCAGGAAGGATAACTATCACCCTTCCTCTGTTCAGTCCTAGTGGGCGAACTCCAGACTCCTACTGCATAGAATATGTCAATGACCTGGTGATCGTCGTAAGAGCCAAGTTAGCAGGTACAATATCAGAGCGCTCTAAACACCGTTGATAAGTGGTGCAGAGAGGAGAAACTAACAGTAAACCCTCACAAAACCACAATAGTCAACTTCAGAAAACGAAAAGAACTGACAGGCCTAAAGTCACAGGTACTAAAAGGAGTGAAGATTTCATTTGCTCAAGAGGCCAAATACTTGGTTAACATGGAATCAACATTTGCAAATGTCACCCAAAAGAGCACAACGTCCTTCAGCCTATGTCGAAAATTGTGTAAAAAAAATTGGGCACCGAAAATGTTCCTATGGCTATATACCAGAGTTATAAGGCCGATAATAACCTACAGGTTGATTGTATGGTGGCCAAAGACTCGGCAAGTTGGAGCTATTCGATAGTTCAATGGTATCAAAAGGCAAGCATGCCTGATGACTTCGGGAGTCATGAGAACAACTCCAACAGCAGCTATAGAAGTCATGCTAAACTTAACACAACATAATATATTTATCTAAGGCAAAGCCAGGTCTGACACATACAGACTGCACAAAGGTCATCACTCATAGGCAGTTTGAATGAACATGACTACAGCGAGCTATGTAAAAAATTGGAGAATTACCGAATAATGTGAATTCCTTAAGACGAAATGCTCCCAAAGTATAGCTTTCAAAAACAATATAAAGTAACTATACCAGACAGGCAAGCGTGGACGGAAGGACCCCCTATTCATGCAAAATTCACCTGGTATACAGACAGCTAAAACAACAAATAAATGTTTAGTAGTAGGTGTAAACAGTATCCAAGCCAGACAAGAATCTAACTGAGCTTAGGTAAACATGCGACAGTATTGCAGGCAGAAATAGCAGCAATACATCAAAAGAGGTATTGAGACAAAAGGGAAATGGAAAAACTATTGTCATATACTTAGACAGTTAAGCGACGTTAGAAGCACTCAGTTCTATCTTGTTGTACTCAAAAGTTTTGTGGGATTGTTAAGAAGCTGGGTAGTCAAAAGAGACCAACCTTAACCTAGATACCAGATCACAATAACATTAAGGGTAATGAAGAGGTTGATTTACTAGCCCGAGAAGGATCCTTAAAAGCTCTTATTGAACCAGAAACATTCAGTGGTGTCACAAAGAAAAATATCAGAACATGCACAAAGAAGTGGATGTTTAAAAATCTCAGAAAAGGAGGAAAAATTTACCAGGACAGATACAGGCCAAAGAGTTCTTTAAGAAAACATCTACTAACCCTTAATAGGAAAAATACTAGAGTACTAGTAGGTCCATTAAGAGGGCTCTGTAAGCTCAACAAACATATGTATATTATCAATCTAACAACAGAGACCTTATGCTAATTCTGTTAGGAAGAGGAGAAAATGCAGAACAAGTATTATGCTACTGTGAAGGTATATCAAGACTTGGAAAAGAAAAATCCAGGCCAACCAGCTACGACGGAGAACTACTTCCTAGTCTATGGTGTCTATTTCAAAAGACCGAATTACATAAGGTACTCTAAACAAAGATTAAAGGATATCCACAATAGATCTGTGAAGGTCAAGGTCAAAGAGGTCTCATGGCCCACATTCCTAATTAAATCTAATCTAGCAAACTCTAATGGTGTTTATAAATGGCTACATTACTAAATTACCATCGTAGTACTGTTCATCTTCTTCCTGAAACTGATGATGCCTCATTGAGATATCTCCGCCCTCGCCAGGTCGATGTAGTTGAGGAATTAAATTTAACCAAAGTGACATTTTATGTCCTCTGTAGTGGTCCTTTTTCTCTAGGCGGCTTCCTGCAAAGTAAACCAATACGCATTAATATCGTTAAGTGTTTCAATTTTTTTTATGAAAATATGTACTTACCGACTTCCAAATAAAATTGATTGATTGTGTCATATGTGTCCCAAAAAGGCATCGCAGGTGTTGGCTTATCTTTAATGACATTTTGATTTAGATTTTCATTTTGATTCTCTGCTGAGTTTGGCATGTCGCCGTTGGGGTTTCTGCAATAAAACTTTTTTGTTTAACGAGAAAAGACCGAAATTTTAAAAAGTTTGTTTAGGGGAAATTTAAATTGATTGAAGTTATGAGATGCCAATCTTGAAATACGAAAAATATACAAATATAACTTTTTTAATAATGGCCTCACAAGGTTCTAATTATTATATTTATTTTTTCAAACGCGAGATCAAAGGAAAGTCACAGGGTTTTTTTTTAACCGCGTGTAATGAAGTTCGCGGATAAAAAAAAACTAATTTTTTTATTGTAAATCGCATGATATGTTTTAATATATAAGAAATTTGCGTATCTCTTGTGATTTATATTGGAAAGACGAAACATTTTGACACAAAAAAGTGAATACTCCACAATTTTATTATCAAAGTTATGAAATTGATGTCAAACTTACAATTGGTAAATGAAAACTGTTTTTCAGTAAAAAACCATGACTGAAATTTTTACATCTTTACAACAAGCAACAATATTATTGTTCTTTTAAAGACCTCTTAAACGGTAATAAAATATGGTCATATTACCTACATTTACTAATAAAAATAACATAAATAATCCTATGGGATTGTATACGAATGTACTCACCCAGTTTTAATAAAATTGCTGATGTAATAAATCAACTCTTTTGATATGGCAGCATCGTTGAATGTGTAGTTATAAGGAGAATAAAATCCAGCACCTGTTATTGGAAAACCTAACACGTAAGGGACGTCTTCGCCTCGAACGCTACCAGCCCTCTAAAAACCAAGAAATAACTATTAATAGGACACGTATTATATTCTTCATTTTTAGTTTTTGAAAATTTATTGATAGGAAAATAATTGAATCGTTTATTTCAGAAAGGGACTAACTAATATTTTCGGCATTTTTGAGTTTTTCGGCTCGTTACATTATTTTAAGGTAAATGCATCTTTTAGTGCAGAAAGAGACCATCTTCTGTAAATAAAGTACCCGTAAATTCGACCTAGTTTTGAGCATTTATTTGAGAAAGGTACTAAGTGACATAGTTGGTCTTAGATAGTTGGTCCATTTCTCAAATAAATAGCTACTAGCGCCACCTAGGTTTATTTCAGCATCAACGCCATCAGCTGTCAGGTAGAATTAACCTATAAAAAATAGACATAAGTAACGCACTAAAATTCTTTGTGTTGATACACTAACTCCGGCGCACTATATTGCGCCAACTCATTGCGTTAACGCAATTGCGTTATTGCGTCACACCACTGCCTGCGCCGAATGAAGTCGATGCACCTCGGTGTATCGCATGATACTGGTGTTATTCAGCGCGGGCTGTCCTTTTATAAGGGTCAAACCGTGTTCAAGGCAATAACGCAATTGGGAATTTAACTAAATTATATGTTTAAAAATAAACGAAAATATAACAGTGTAATGCACCCATTTTTTATTTCATTGTGTTCGGTTTTACAACGAATACAAAAATTTTAATTTATATAAAAAGGATATAACTTTTGTATACTAGTAGCCAATCAAAATGGGAATAACTAAAAACTGACAGTGTACAAGGTTAAAATCCATAAAAGTCGACCTTCCTACAAAAAATGATGTGACATGTTGCAAAGAACATAATTACTTGATAGATTTTGGGTAATCTGCATTACGAGTTGCATCAATTACGTAAATTAAAATTCTCAACTCGTCACGGAAAACGGAATCAGTGCCTGGCGCATGGCGCACCAACAACTCGCGATCCTTTCGACTCAGTATCGAAAATTACGTTGCGCTGATACAGTAACAACTGGTGTATCAACGCTCATAACGCATACAACTGCGTTAACGCAATAACGCAACGCAGCGCTGCGTTACCCATGTCTAATAAAAAACATATTGTTATAATATTCTTGTGTCACAGCGTATATGTGTTCTCTAAGAAAATAAGAATTATGAGTGATACCGACGATAATCAGTCTGAAAGGTCAGTGGAAGAAACAAAGAAAAGGAAACGAGGGGTTAGAAATGACAAAAATTATAAAAGGAATATTATCAGAAGGTGCAGAGTTCAGGGGAAGGCTTACGTAAATTACAAGGAAAATGCTGTAGATGCAAGAATGCCGGTAAGTTCGCAATCAGCAAATTCTTTAAATGAAATGCTTTGAAAAATTGAACACTAATATAAAATAAGCGCTTTTTATTCGCTTTCGTGCCCTTAATATTAAGGATGATCAGGAAATATATTTGCAAGGTCTTTTAGAAGTAGTTAACATTCAAAGAAAATCTGAGTCAAATTTCGTTTAGCCGAAATCAGTTACGTAAAAATTGTTGCCATGGCAACCGTTGCCATGGTGACCAGTAAACAAAAACCCAAATCTCGTGGTGAAGAAATGCATAGTTGCCAAGTTATAGATTATTTAACGTTCACTTTAGTTTAGACGAAATCAGTTATGGTAAAACTGTTGCCATGGAAACGCTTCACATAGTAACGACTAAACAAAAAGCTAAATCCCATGATGAGGAAATGCGTGGTTGCCAAGTTACAGATGATTTAATTTAGCTGTAATCAGTTACGGAGAAACTGTTACTATAGAGACACTTGTAATGGTAACGACTAAACAAAACCCAAATTCTGTGGTAAGAAAATGCATAGTTGGCAAGTTACAGGTCATTTAATTTTCACTTTAGTTTAGCTGAAATCGGTTATGGAGATCTCGTGTTATCGACTAAACAAAAACCTAAATCCAGTGGTGAGGAAATACGTAGTAGCTTCTTATATATAGAATAACTATTAACACAATATCCTAATCTAAAATAAAGTGAAAATGAAACCATCTATAACTTGGCAACTAGGCATTTTCTCACTACGGGATTTGTTTAGTCGTTAGCATGACAAGCGTTTCCATGGCAACAGTTTCTCTACGCTACGCTCCTCCCACTGACAACCTAACTACTATAGAGGAAAGCGAGCGAAGCGAGCGCGCCCGGCCGACATTTCGAAATTCGCGCACGCGATCGTAAGATCACGCTATACTCCTCCCACCCACTTCCTAACTACTACAGAGGAAAGCGAGCGAAGCGAGCGCGTCGTACCGACGTTTTGAAATTCATGCGCGCGAAATTCTAAACGGCCGGGCGCGCTCTTTTTCCACCTACATCATAAGATCACGCTACGCTCGTTTCACTCACCTACTAAATATGACTTGGCAACTACGCATTTCCTCACCACGACATTTGGGTTTTTGTTTAGTCGTTAGCATAATAAGCGTTTCCATGGCAACAGTTTCTTTATTGCTGATTTCGAATAAACTAAAATGAACATTAGATAATCTATAACTTGGCAACTAGGCATTTCCTCACTGCCGGATTTCGATTTTTGTTTAGTCCTTAGCATGACAAGCGTTTCCATGAAAACAGTTTTTCCGTAACTGATTTCGGCTAAACCAAAGTGAACATTAAATGATCTATAACTTGGCAACTACGCATTTTCCCACCACAAGATTTGGGTTTTTGTTTGGTCCTCAGCATAATAAGCGTTTCCATGGCAACAGTTTCTTCATAACTGATTTCGGATAAACTAAAGTGAACATTAAATAATCTATAACTTGGCAACTACGCATTTCCCCACCACGAGATTTGGGTTGTTGTTTAGTCGGTAACATGATAAGCATGCTTATGGCAATATTTTTTGCATAACTGATTTCAGCTAAATGAAATTAAACAAAACCCATAATCATCTACAACTTGGCAAGTACGCATTTCCTCTCCATGAGTATAGGGTTTTTGTTTACTCATAGCCATCACAATTGTAATTATGACAACAGTTTTTGCATAACAGATTTCGGCTAAACGAAAGTTGAGCCGAAAATCTCAACCACACAATCCAGAGAACTCAAAGGGAAAAACTTCTTCCTTCCATCACTATTTCCCAGTTGATGGTAAACGAAGAAAGGTCTCTTAAAAGGCATTTTTTAGTTTATTTAGTATTGACATTAAAAGGTTAAAGCGTTTAAGAGGTCTTCTAAAACAAAACATAACTCCATATGACAAGCGGGGACAAAATATAAAAGACAATGCTATTTCAGAAGAGAAAAACGTACTAATTCGCCAGCGTATTGAATCATTCCCTGTTAAGGAAACTCATTACAGCAATAAAACTTATTTATATCTTGATGCTAAACTCAATATGAAAATTATGTTCGCTATGTTCAAAGTAAAATTCGATATTCTTACTTTCTGAAATATTTCCATGAGCATTTCGATATTCACTTTGGCCGTCCACAAGTAGACACTTGTTGCAAGTGTGAAGAACTGGACTTCAAAATAAAAGGTCCTTCGCTAGGAGATGCAGCTAAAAGAGCAGCAGCTGCCGAGTATGCAGTACATAAAAGAAGAGCAAAAAAGTTTTATTTGTCGTTGAATGAATTTACTGATGAGTGCAAGATTCGTGATGACCTGGTCGTAATAACATTTGACTACAAGCAGGATGTTCACTTACCTGAAGTTCCAGTCCAAGATTTATTTTATCTAACACAACTAACAGACAGTATTTTTGGTATACACAACTGTATGTCTGGCAAGTCATTCTTTTATATTTATCTTAAAGGTATTGCCAATGCAAGACCTAACGAGATATGCTCGTTTCTGTGGGACTATATTCAACGTGAAATTTCAGAAAATATCGAGGAATTACGTCTTTATAGTGATAATTGTCCCATGCAAAACAAAAATATTATAATGTTACGCATGTGTGCAGCATTAGTTGAAACTAGTGGATTTAAAAAAGAAATTTCGATCAGAGGGCATTCCTTCTTGCCTAAATGACCGAGTCTTTGGTGTCATTAAACGACGTTTAAAGCGATCCGATCGTACATTTTCTGTTCACGAATACACTGAAATAATAATAGCTTCAAGTGCGCAGAAAAATTGTACTGTCATGGAAATTTCTTAAAAGAAATCATAGATTTCAAGCAGTGGTGGCCCAAATTAAAAAAAAAAGTCTCTGGAAACTTTAAACAAAAAAATCTCCAGGGCACAAAATCAACCCTTTTCTGTATCGCAATTTTGCAATTTTCATTGTAACTCAGAATCTCCTGGATATGTCATGTGCTTAGAATTTTTTCAAGTTCTGACGAACCATACTTTTAAAATCCATATGCCAGAAATGTCGAAAGAGTTCCGGTTAGAATGCCTGAATAAAATCCCTATCAATAGAAAGTTCCAATATTGGACACAAAAAAAAACGGATATCGGTAAAGCGATGTCACACGTTCAAGAGGAATATCACCCATTCTATCAAGAAATTTTGGAATGGCCTACAAAAGTTTCCAAAAAGAAAGCGATTGCATTAAAAGCCAAATACAAATTATGTTACAGTTTTCAATAAATCTTTAATGTTTAAACATTATTATTGTTTTTATTGGGGCAATTCTTAGAAAAACAACTCACTGTTTAATATTTCAGTGATAACGCCAAGTTGATTCCTTAAAAAAAAATAATATTTTCCATTTATTTGAGACAGGTACTAACTGCATTTTTTTGTTATCTAATTTTTTCCTTCGTTATCAAAAAAAAACCTATTTTTAACCTAAAAAACATCTAAGCAACTCTATCTTTAACTAATTATGTCAAACAAATAGCATTATCACATTTTATTAAACTAAACATAAGTTTTTACTCTTTTTCTCAAAGGTAACAAAATGTTATTTAATACCTTTCTGAAATAAACGGTTCAAATTAGTAGAGATCTTTCAAAAAAGTAAATGCCAGGGTGGTCATTCCCATTCTCCATAGAATACTTTGCTTACAACAACCCCTACCACAAGCAATCATATTAATAACACGTCACCTACGGTGAGCCGGAATACCTGAAAACAACTACTTCCTTGGCTAATGCTTCAACATACATTGCAATATATCAATAGGGAAAGAGCAGAGATAGAAAATCATTTTCATCACTTTGAATTTGTATCCTAAGAAGAAAGTCATAATTGTACCGGTTTCGCGCTTATAAGGACTCATCAGCTAGCATTAGATAATCTCGACTGTAGTCTCTAATGAAGTCTGCTTAATGTGTTACCTTAAATCGTATGCATTAGAGTTAAAAAAGAAGTATTTTACTAAATAAGTCTTATCATGGCACTGGGGATATAATATTGAGTTTATACATACAGTCTGCAAAAAGAACGATTTAACAAATTCTTGACTTCAGTCTCTAATGTAGTCTCCTTGATTGTTATCTTCATTCGTATGCATCAAATATGGTTGAGAACACATCCCCAACTAGCCATTCATAAAAGTGTATTTGTTGTGAAGTTCTCATCATCATCTATTGTATAGTCCAGGAGACAGTGACGATTTTCGGTATTTATTTTCCCAGTCAACAAGCACGAATAGAGAATTGTAGGATTAGCAATTCTAAGCAAAATTCATATATATTTAGAGGGGGGATCCGATGGGCTGAGGCCGAAAATGCGTCAAAACATACGAGAACACGGCCCTTTTTTTCCATTGATAAAAATAGTTTTAGTAGTAAGAGATGTAATGAAGTTAAGTAAAAAAATAGTCTGATTAATCTGTATAGATAATATATTTGGCAAGTGCATAAAATACACTTTCAAACGAGTTATGTACACAATTATTTCTACGACCACAATTATTTAAAGAATGTTCCAGGTGTTTTGTATATTAAAGTGTACGCATAGGACACATAAATAAAATCTTATATCACAATGTTCCACCTAACCAGTTGGTTTATTTATAGAAATTAAACATAATAATTGAAGATATTACAGAAGAAAATAGGGAAATAAATTACATTTCCTTTTACACTTTTATATAATAATTGTTTTATTTAGAATTCACGAATCACTTATTACTCTACAATAATTATAATTATTGTTAGTTTCGTTATGTCAAATCATTTATACTAGAGGTGTGAGGAAAATACAGTGAACCGTGGAACGCCAATATCGTTGGATGCGCGTGGTAGAAATGGTTCTATAATACTGCTAAAAACATAGCTAAATTTTCATGGAAACACTGTACTTTTGATATTTGCGATACTCCGACGCATATGCATTATTGATGTAATCTCATGATTTTACAGTAATAGTTTTTGCAATTTTAGTGTGATTTTTAGGTTATTATGGTTATTCATTTTATTTGGTTCCGATCTTTTGCGCTTTTAGAGTATTTGTCTTTTATATAGTTTTTAATTTGAATTTTAATATTGTGGTCTATTTATATTTGATTGCTGCTTTTCGACTAGTGCTTTATTCTTTTTGTGTTAAAATAAGCTTTATAACCATTAAGTACATGCTTCTAGTTGATATCTACCTAATCGTCATCGGGTGCTTGCAACAATGGGAAAAAGTGTATGGTTTTTTTGGTGTAAAGTTAGACGCCTTCATTTTTCAGGTAAGTTATTTGTAGTTATTTTTTACTTAAAAGGATAGCAATACGTCCTAGTTCGGGGTGTGACTTTTGGGTTTTAGCTATCTGAGCCAAATTGTCGGCTAAGTGTCCTCTTTTAGGGCACCCAGAACCGAAAACTATATAGGTATATAATATGTTTTTTTTTTAATTATTTTTTAATATGTATGCAGCTTGGATGAGGGCTTTAGGAAGAGATCCTAAGACTGAACACTGACTGCTACAAATGCCGTTTTTAGAGCACATTTCATAGTAAGTGATTTCATTCTAGCAGCAATGAGGAAACGTTTAAAAAACATGCTGTACCAGCTATTACTTTAAGACCTCGTCTCTTTAAGTTATTATTACTTCATTCTAATGCATATATTAAAATGGTTTTTAACTTATGTCCTTATGATTAAAAGATGTAGGTATTTTAGTTATGTTATAATAGAAATATATGATAGTTTGTATTGACTGACCTACTGGCCACTGGTCATTCCACTTTTACTCACTTTTTTCATAAATTATCAAATTATTTAAAAAAAAATACATACCTAGCTATTTTCTGTAAATTACATTAAAATTTTAGTATTAATACTTTACTAATAAAACTTGAGTTACTTTATCTTATATATATATATATATATATATATATATATATATATACACAACGGAAGAGTTAATTGGATTTTCTCCTTGTTGAGTTTCAAAAATAGTAATTTAACATGATTTAAAAACAGATACATGAAATGGGCAAAATAGGCCTGCAAAGGCACTTTGTAAACAATCTCACTTGTATCGATGTGACGTAATGCGCGAATTCAATCTGGCTTACTTTTGTTAATAGATTGGCGTTCCATTTTAAATATACAGTTCACCGGGAATAGATTATTTAAATATACACGGACCGGGAAAACAAGTACGAAAAAATTCACTGGCTCCTGAACTAGTACTGTATCGAAGGAATTTTTATGAATGAAACAATATACGACCCTCCACAATTGCGGTCTACTCAACTTCCGCTGTTGTCAGACATTATTTTTTTTTGGACAATTTAAAGACCTAACAGTAATTTAAGCAAACGCAATAACATTACTACAGTTTAAAACATCGCAAACTTGGCATCAATATTTTAATTTTATCCAAATATTGCATTTCTGTCGAGGATCATCCGCGTTGACTTCAGAAATTGTGTAATCTGTATTGGTTATATAAATCTATAGTTAAAAGCACGTAAATTTGGCATCAATGTTCAATCCGATTATTGAGTTTCTACCGCGGACACCACCGTTCATTCTTCAAAAATTTTGTAAATAATCCTATCTGTCTTGGTTATATATCTATGGTTGAGAATGAGTAGGTAGTAAACAAGTAAAAAATGGTAAGGCCATCTGAACTTAGAAAGCAAAATCAAAGCTCGCTGTAGTAACTATAGTTCCCTAGAACAAGGTGAAATAGCAAAAACGGGCACGTATTAGAGAAAACAAGTACAATTTTTCAAATGTGTTCATATTTAAAATAATTATAAAAGAAAAAGAGCAAGTCCGTATCACAACAAGTCGAGAGGCTGCTTCGCTCCTGAAAACAACTCAAAAGAAAAATCATTTTCAACACTCTTGCTTTGATTTTTGTTTCTAAAGAAAAAGTCATACTTGGACCGGTTTCGTCCTTTTTAGCACTCATCAGCAAGTATTAGTCAATCTCGACTTTAGTCTCTAATGAAGTCTGTCTAATAATGTGTTACCTTCAATCGTATGCATTAGAGTTAAAAAAGAAGTATTTTACTAAATAAGATTTATCATGACACTAGGCATATAATATTAAGTTTATACCTACAAAGTCTGCAAAAAGAACGATTTAACAAATCTAGTTTACTTTTCCTTACCATTGGAACATCTCTTTCGCCATTATGGTGTTGGAAATGGAAGAAAAACGTCGTTCCACCTCTTAAACTATGCAAATATCCTATCCTGATTAATGGAGCCGCTGTATGTCCATCGCTAAGTACATCCAATACAGCATCCCTAAAATAAAATAAAATAAATTGAGTATTTGTATAGCTAACAGAACAATTATAATAATAATAATTGCATATATTAAATATTTGTTGATAATTAGCCTAGAAATTACTAACACTAATACCAACAAAATAATAACACGTCTGCAAAAAAGTTTTTAGCTTTAAGGGTTGTTTTTGATTAATTTTGTTTATTTTGTTTTTTTTTTTATAGGATGCTGAATCCAAAAGTGACCTCCACGTAGTGTTTTTTTGCAAAACAGGATGAGTTTACAATAAAAAAAGTATAACAGCGATGAAAACATCAATATTTTATTATAATCTAAAAAAATGAAAAGGGTATTAGGTGGAGATTTAGGTACAGGTAGGGAATACTCGAAAGAACAGTTATATATTTTAAAACTGTATATATCACAAAACACACATAGAGGTTCCACGTGAATGAGCAAGGTCAAAACAGACAAGTGAGATTATTTCTTACGGTACTGACTCCAAACACTAGACAAGGCTACTGGCATTATATGGAGTGTAGAAAAGATGAATCGTATATGGTTGTAAATATCAAAAAGTGACCACTTAAATGTATAAAATTAAGATAACGCTTGTGTACTAAAAGGAACAATCCAATGATATATATTCAGGAGCGGTTTCTCCATTGGTTCATTTGTGCAGTGAACACCCAGTTCAATTTCATAAAAATATTATTTTCCTACGACCACTTAGGAAAGTGATACATATCACACTATATAGTCCTATGGAAAGTGCCTATATCACACGCGTATAAATAAGAATTTACTTTCCACCCGTGTACGAATATGTTACTTTCCGCAGTAGCTGTCACAAAATGTCAAACACCTAATTTCTATTTTGATCTATGTAATGTCCATATTAATACTAAAATCGATATGATTGTTAAATTATTGAAATTGTTGTAAATTAGATCCTAGATATTTACCTTTAACAATTATTATTAAAATAATTTTAAAATAATGTTTGCTCTTTATTCTGGTTAAATATATAACCGATTAGGTCATTCAACTGACACAAGGGCTATTAGCTCAGGTGGTTAGAACATCGAACTTATCAACTTTGCTATTTGAGACCGCGTTCGAATCCTGCCGGGACAGACATTTTTTTTTGTTTTTTTTATTTTTTTTATTTTTTTTTTGTTTAGAAAATATGAAATTTAAATAAATACTATTATTGTTGATTATTTTTTTAAATACATTTTAATTTTCATAGTAATAATAACCTTGGTTTTACATTTTTTGATGACAGCATTTTGTGGTCGTAGGAAAAATATTGTACATCACTTGTGTGAAAAGTGTTTTTTCACACTCTTGCGATAGTCGCACTCGGCTTGCGCCTCGTGCGACAATATTTCTCACTCGTGTGAAAAATGTCACTTTCCACACTCGTAATGCAATATACTATTTAAAATTACATAAATAACATAAAAATATAAATTTAATTTTATTATTTTTATTTTCATACGTGTTAATCTTTATTTTTTGGTACATCATTGCTCTCTGGCTGATCGCGTCTCTATGGCACAATATACCTAAGTATACCGTGTTTGTGGCGCATTATGATGTGTGAGCCTAACACGAGTGAGACGATTTGGCGAATACATATAGCTAAAAAGAGAACACAACACGCCAACAGATCCTTCAAACTGTCAAAGAATACATTAATTGGCGCGCCGCACACAAACAAGGTTGTCAAACCAGTGTTGCCAGTCTAGTACAATTCACAATTATACAAGATGTAGTACATTTTGCATGCATCAGTTTTCACGTGTAAAAAATATATATTGTGTTTCTTGTTAGGGTTAGTTATCAATAAAGACCCCTTTTTCCCCTTTAATGAATTAGATGTCACTGCAAATAGAATTAAAAAAATCTGATACATTTTAAGGAATCTGGTACATTTTTTAGACAAATCTGGTACATAACAAAAACATATTCTGGTAACACTGTACCAAATCAAACAAACTGTCATTCCGTCATTCCTCTATGAAACTTTAATTGTTTAATTATTTGTGCTTATTTAGAAAAATGTGTTTAATTAAGAACTGTGGCATTAATAAATTGAAAGTATTTGTGTCAATTCAACGATTGTTCCTGAAACACTTCTTTAAGGCAAGGTAAATAAAATTATTTTTAAAGTTGTTGTTTTATTTAACTATAATAAAGTTTTACGAATCTAATTTGTTTTATATTTTATTTCAGTGTCTAATTCTAATTCTAAGACCACTTCAAAATGGTCTATTTTGTAACCAACTGTAAAAACTATGAAGTAAGAAGTGAGCAAAAAATTTGTAAATTTTTTGTGTCCCACAAAACCTGCTAAAAGGAAAAATTATTCTGATAAGGTATTTACTTGACATCATTATGGAAATGGAAATGTACAATAAACGTTTGATAAAGATAAAGAGGCAAATGGTTTTTCACTCTAAAAGTTTGAATCGGAAAAATAGACCAACCAGTTAATTTAATATACTCAATGAGAAATTTTACCTAAGAAATGGTAAATACATTTAAATAGTTTATATATGTTATTTATCTATGTTATATATGTTAATTATTTTTACTTTAATTACATTTTTTTATTGCCTTGTTTGTATAATTTAGTATTTTCAAAAATATTAGATGTATTGGTAATTTGGATCATGGAGGTGTTAAATAAAAAAAAGGCTGTTGGTAAATTAGTTTACAGTTGGTAATAAAGTATGTCTCGAAAAGAGCCATTAGTATTAAACATAAATTTTGATTTTGATTAGGCACTTAATAAGTCACATCCCACATATTTACATGTTCTGGGAAATCAATCTTATAAGTACATATTAAAATATTAATATACTATCTACAATTAAAAAATAATTTGAAAATACAGATGAAGTCGATTTACCTATTTAGACAAAATTACTATTATTCCATTATTTATTAAAACACATTATTTTTTAGCAAACATGTACATACAAGTCTGCCATGAGGATAGGACAGTAGCGAGAATAAGAATACTTCGGAATGTGCTGTGAAATACACTTAGAAAGGGTTATATGAATAATTAAGTGTGATAACATTTGTATTTTAATATTTTAGTTCACAGATTTCTATAAATGTTCAATTATGTGCTGCTATTTCAAATTTTTAGTTTCCTTTGATAAAAGAAGTTGAATATTATTGTTGTTTTCTTTAAACTGTTTATTTTACCTTATACATTTTTTGTCTACTCTTTATATAGTATTCTGTAGTATTATAGGTTTACTTTGTCCGTCTGTCCGATGTCTCGTTTTGTGTCTGCATGATAATTTAAAAACGAGAAATAATATCAACTTAAAAATTTTAAGCAAAAATAAATATCTATAAGGGGCCAAAGCCTATTGATTTTTAACAAATCTGATTAAAAATAGGGGGTTAAGATGGGTTGAAATTAAAAAAAATCTTAAATTAAAAACAAAAAGCGATATGAACATGAAATTTTAAGTAAAAATAAAGCTTTATTAGAAGATAAAGCCTATTGATACTAATACTGGAGAGTTAAGGGGGTTAAAATATTAAAAAAAAATCCTAACTGAAAAAAGAAAAATGAAATCATCTTTAAATTTTTAGCAAACATCAAGCTTTAAAAGGAGAAGAAGCCCTTTAATTATAAAAAAAATCTGATTAAATATGGGGGATTTAAAGGAGGTTGAAATTAAAATAGAAAATCAAAAATGAAAAGCAATATCAACATGAAATTTTTAGTAAAAATCCAGCATTATAAGGAAATGAGGCCTGTTGATTGTGAAAATGGGTAGTTAAGGGGTCTGTTAAACTGCGAAGAGTATCATTTAGAATGCCAGACATTATATAAATTTATTCTAGTTTGTATCTGCGTAATATTATGTATTGTGATGGGACTGATCTTATAAAATAAACATTTAAAACATTTTAGTTCTTATTTTATTTGCCAATAAAAGGTATTTCAAAAATATATTTTTTATTTGACATCTGTGACAAATTGTGAAAATGACTAAACTTACAATAAAAACTGAAAAATGGTAGGTAAACTTTCATATATTTTTTACACAAAAATAATAACTAATAATGTTTATAGATGGTTTTCAATGTATTAAAAACAAAACAAATATTACACTAACTAAAATATTAATTTTTTATTAGTTTTAGTGCTTGAAAACAGTACGATATTGATAATAATAACTTAATACAAATTCAAATAATAAAAAAACATTGCACAAAGTTTTGAACCGAACTTACAAATTATAAAATTATTGGAAAAAGTGAACACCTATTTTAAATTATCACGAGTCGCCACTGTATATAGTAAGATAGATGGCTCATACATATGTAAATCAGACGGCGAAAAGAGGCGCCGCTAAAAGGCATAATTACACGCATCTAAACAGTAAAGCAGTTTTTCGAATTGGATGTGCCAGAGTTGTAAAAACAAGTCTTCGGACTCTAATAGAAAAATGAAGAATATTTTTCAGGACAAAGAAAAAATAAGTTTATAGTTTCTTTTTTATATTGTAATTGATAATATTATATTTTTTGTTTATAATATCTGTTTGTTTACTTGTATTTTGAAAAAACCCAAAACCCTCGCAAGTTTACTGCAACTTTTTTTTTGCTACTGGTAATCAAAATTGGGGACTTTTTATATTAAATCCAAAGATATGACGTTTATTTATATATTTTTTTTTAATATTATTGGTTATTCTGATTTTAGTGATTGTGTTGTTGGCCTTGGCTTTTGGTTTCTGTTTATAGTTTCTTCTTAATTATTTGCAAAATTGTGATGTTTTGTTTTTCTATTTCCTACTGTGTTTTGCAATGATTTTGCCTGCCTCGGAATAACGGGGGCAATGAAAACAACCTTCACTGCTGCAATGGAAGCACTAATAGGACTCCCACCTCTTCACTATGTGATACAAGGGGAGGCAAGATTAGGTGCTTACAGATTAGGGAATACACTGGGAAATCTTGACATTAGGCCAGGTCATATGAGTATCTCAAGGTTAGTGACAGGAGACGTGCTAGACATGAGATCAGACCACATAACCAAGAGGTACTCTTTTAATACTCCCTTTGAGGTTTTAATACAGGAAAGAGCGGAGATCACCAACGACAGGAACAAACCTGGTATACAGACGGGTCTAAGACTGCGGAAGGCACTGGGGCAGGAGTATTCTCCAAAAACCCTAATAATAACCATAGCTATGCTATAGGAATACATTCCTCGGTATTTCAGGCCGAGGTATACGCAATTTTGCAATGTGCAAAAACGAACAATGAAAGAGCCTGTCGAAAATCAGCATATTCAAATAATGTCAGACAGCCAAGCGGCACTTAAGGCCATATCGAGTCAGAAAGTTACGTCAAGGCTGGTATGGGAATGCATCGAAGAACTAAGAACACTGGCAGACCGAAATAGAGTAAAACTATTTTGGGTGCCAGGTCACAAAGGGATTGAAGGCAACTAAAAGACTGACGAACTTGCAAAAAGAGAGTCAGAAGAAACACCGGAACCAGACACAAAACCAGGAGTACCAAAAAGTACAGTCCGGGGTTTTATAAATGACTGGATTCGGGAACAACATATCAACTATTGGGGAAGAATCACAAAACAGGCACATGAAAAAGCCTTCATAGGCAGACCATGTCCCAAAAGAACTGGAGAATTACTCTTAATGAATAGGAACCAGTTGAAAGTGATAACAGGGTTCATGACTGGGCACGCCCCAGTAAAGGGACACTTGAACAAAATTGGCATGTACAATGGGGAACTCATGTGCCGACTATGTCACAAGAAACCAGAAAAGACCAAACACATACTGTGCGAATGCGAAGCTCTAGATCGCAAAAGACAGGCTCTTTTTGAACAACCCCAGGTTGATCCAACAACGTATAGAACCCACTCACTCAAGGATCTGTACAAACTTGTACAAGGTACAAAGGTGGTAGAGTGGGTGCTATGAACTAACATGGGGTAAAACACAATAAACCAATAATAGGCTTCAGTGTTATTCGGAGACACATAGTCAGACGAGCCCAGGGAAAAAAAATCTGTATTCGTAAAATGTAATATCCCAGTGTCTACTTCATAATTTAAATACATTGATTTAAAGATTTGCTCCATATATTTGATTGTTGGTATTTATTTTGTTATTATAATATTTATGTTATTCAAAAGGAAAGACTTGTATTTCGTGCAAAACTTTTTAATTAATAAATACAAAGCGCTTTCGGCTTATTTGCCATCATCAGTGCTTATCTACAAAAATTGTGGATGTAAACTTACAATTTAAAAAATATATAAAAATCTGGGTAAGACTTTTAAGTCAAGAGTTAAAATTGTATATATACGGTTATTTATTATAAAATAATTTATCTAGAAGTGACTTAAAATTTAATTAAGAACTACTACCTACTACTAATAAATTACAATTTAAATTTTATCGCCATTTGTCAATTGTCTATTTAGTTCCCTACTCCAAACCCGAGGTGGAGCTACTTTAATTTAAAGTATCTCTATATAAATCAGAGTTGTAACACCAGCAAAAAGAAATATAAAATTTAACTAAGAAAAATAATGAAATAATGTAGCTTCTAGTAAGTAACAATATATTGTACATCAAATTAACCTTTTCAAAATTATTTTCGTATCTATCCCTATCCTATCAATCAGTAAATCACTATCATTTGGTTAAGTAAGGTAGGTAACAAAAACAAATAGCTAATTCTTTAACAGAATTAAGTTTTCACAATCCGTGTCACTTAAGGCATATTACGCTTTGAATCATTTATCGTTGCATACTTTCAAGCGATGTGGACGAAGGTATTTATATACATAAAAAAATGGAAAATAATAAGCAGTGTAAATCTGTGAGCAAGAGTCATTTGCACAGTTAGTCGTTAAGACACCTTAAAATGACATTTATAATGGAAAAATCAGAGATAAGGCAATAATGATATGAAACGCTCATAAGAAGCCAATGCTTAACAACGACCAGCTTTAACACAGTTAACATCTGACCTACTATGTGGCGCTTTCATCGATATCAAACAACGTAGCGGGAAATTTAAAAACCTGATAATAAAGATTATATAAATATCGACTGCATTCTCATGTTCTTGTAAATAAATTTAAACAATGTAATTACGCTAAATTATTTATTAAAAAGAATACTACACTTACAGTCTATTGTCGAATAATTATTGTAAATCTATTATTGACGAATATTTAATTTATGATCGCTATTTGTAACAATACATTTCCCTTTTTATTTTCCAAACGAATGGCCAATGGTGTCTTATTTAAAAATTTTGAGTTTAAACTCAATAATGAGAATTCAGATAGTTTTCTTCCTATATCAAATCTTCCGGCTAACGTTTTGAAGCCATTTTTTTGTTCTAAACCAATAAATAATACAGAAATACTTACTTTGTGATAAAAGTTGGTTCCTATTTGTGTTACATACATGACTAGATCTTACTTTGGTTAATTAAAGAACGCCACATTGAAGTTGTTAAATTTATTCATGTGGCCTGTGTTACTAATGCAATACGTTCTCCGACTTATTGTAATATTACAAAATATAATTATTGTCCTCAAATTTCACACAAAAATAGCCATAACCATTTTACTCAGTTCATGTACAGGATAACACAATCATGAACTCAAAATCTAAAATTTAAATTCAAGATTCCATTAAAACTAACCAAAGACACAGGACTATTCCAAAAATAGTACATGAATACGGGGAAAGCAGGGGAATACAATAGACTGCAGTGTTCTGAGCCAAACCTAACCCTACCTGCTTACAACCGATAAAGATTAAGATTAAGATCTGACAATACAAGAAAGTAGTACTATTAGTTGCCTAGATGTCAGTTATTTCTTACACAATTTTATAAATAATCTAGTTAATATTAGAAAAAATATAATATGTTAGGTAACTCGTTCATGTTGCGGAACCTCGCTCTGCTCATCCCTCAAATATTCACGCGTTACATAAAATAAGGCATTTTCTAACTGGTTTCATAAATAGCTATTTTTTACATTTACCTTTTTTTAAAGAAACGAGATAACTTTTGTGGACAGTTTTTCATTTGCATTCACCATCTCTTGTGCCTCTGGAAATCGTTCCAATTGAAATCACAAATTAAATTATCCAGTTTAGTTTTTTTTTTCTAAACCTAAATAACGTATAATAAAAATAAACTTAAGAGAAATAGTTAAAAAAACTTTATTTATATTTATTTTTATAGTACAAAAATATATAATTACGTAGTAATTAATTTATACTAAATAATTCGTAAAAATCGGTAGATACAGTCATTGTAGGTATTTTTTTCACAAATACTTTTTAAATTTAAAACTATAAATAAAATTTGTTGGGCCGAAAGACTCCGGCCGACAGCCCTTTGGGAGTAGGTTCCCAATAAATATACTTTCTCCCTTTTTCCTAAAATTTGTTAAGATCGCTATTCTTTGTTGTTATTTTTTAACATCTGTTGAATTTCCTCTAGGGATTTACCTCTTGTTTCTGGGATTATATAATGAGATAATACGGCAGAAACGGCTGCGCATAATGCGAAAAATAAGAAGGGCGAATAGAATCCAAAAATAGTGTTCAAATAATAGAAAATAATACTTGTGACGAAATTTCCTACTCCAAATGCAATAACTAGGATGGCCATCGCTTTTGATTTGATACTGGCGGAATACAATTCACTAAGCATCAAAGTTGGTATTACTCCTATACCAAAACAACCAAAAACTTGAAACATTATCATACCAGCTACTGGAATATAACTAAAAGTACGTACGTCCACTTCTAGTTTATCGTCCATGAACATGTAGATCCCCATCATAAGAAAAACTAGACTACATAAAGCAGTGGATGACATATAACAAATTTTTCTACCAAATTTTGGTACAATGAATATCGTAGCTGATACATTAAGGACAACACAAAGGGCCATATAAATCATAGATCCTAATTCGTGACTGATTTCTGCTCCAGATTTATGAAAAATAAATTGAGTATATGTTAAGAAAATACTTGAACCGGACAACTGTTGACTTAACCTTAGGAACAATCCTGCAATTAAAGCTTTTCTGTTGCTTTCTATTTTAATGAGGTCTCTCCAAGTTCCAGATTCTGAAAGTTGTCTTTCAACATCTCCTTTTAGTCTTATATAAATTTCATCAACATTTCTAAGTCGCTTGAGAAATCGTAGGGAACTTTTTGCATTCTCTTCTTCACCTTTCATGATGCAGAAATACGGCGATTCCGGCATCATCATAAACATGATGAAATATAAAACTGTTAAAGGTAAACAAATGAATGTTGTTGGGGTTACTCCAAAATAGCTTCCAATTACGGTAATGAGAAATTCTCCAAGATATAGTGATGTTGGGATGGCATTTCCCCATGTCCCTCGCACTGATGGATTCGCTATTTCCCCAATATAAGTGGGTAAAGTTGCAAATAGGCATCCATCTGCTATGCCACTACAAATTCTAGCAGCGTAGAATACGTAAACAGATTTAGCAAAGCCTGCCAATAACCAGCTGGCTATCTGAGGGATAACAATTAATAGCAATGTTTTTTTTCTTCCAATCACATCAGAGAGTTTTGCAAAAATTGGACTTGCAACCATCAAAGACAAAGGTTGAATAATATTGAAGTAAGAGGCTTCTTCTTCAGTTATGTCATAGTGTTCATCATCGTTAACAATTTTCATTAAAAATGGCGATGCCCATGAAAAGAGGAGTCCATTGGTTAAGCCTGCTAAAGCACCTGTAACGAAAAACTGATTTAGCAATAGCTAATGATAAATAATTATCCAAAATCTCACATGTGGTGAAATTTAATGAAAGAGTATAGCTAAATATCAATTCGACATATATTTTATATGATGTAAATTTAAAATAGAACTTAAATATTTAAATTTAAATAACAGGCACCTTAATGTTTTGGTGACATTTTGAATATGTTTTTCTCACTTCAGGTTACCATCAATAGTGACTCCAAGATATTTAATGTCATTAGATCTTTCTATGTTAACGTCTATTATTTATTTTTATTGTTTTTACAGTGGGGCATACTAGTAGTATTGAGAATAGTTAGAACGCCTATGGCTAATTTAGTTTTTCTTTAAAATAATGGAATAGTGACGTTAAAAAAAAAAACTTTTGTCAATCAATAAAATAAAAGTCATTACAGTAAAAGAAAAAAAGCTATTTTTATTAAAACAAGATCTTTCCGTATTCTACAATTAGCATATGACGCGAACAGTATGAAGAAGGTTTTTTCAAAATTAACTGTTAATAATTGATGACTAAACCATTCAAGTATATTTTTCATATCATTTTCAATTTTTCGTTTTAGAACTTCCCAGGTTAGGGCCTTATAAAGAACGACCGTATCGTCTGCAAAACATAGAATTTCTCCAGATGATGTTAAATTAAGCAAATTATTTACGTATAGTGTAAAAAGTAGGAGTCCTAAGATAGTTCCCTGAGGCACACCTTATTTAATGCAGGATATATCACTGTATTTTTCGTTAATTTTTACTCTTTGAGTGCGTAAGATAGCTTTTCATTACCATGTATGGTGTGCCTCTAATTCCTATGTCTTCCAAGGTATCTAATCATGCGATACTGTGTCATATGATCAATATATTTAATGAACAAAATAAAATACCAAATCGGTATCGCATAAAATTTAATAAATAAAAGTAACGTAGTTAGTTTAGGTTATAAAAACAAAAATATTTCTCGGAATGATACAATGTTATTATACTTACACCAATAAAAATTAAAAAGTGAGCGGAAAAAAGGAATTGTTAGAAACATTTATGGGTCTATAACAACTTAAAAAGACTTCCAAACTATATCTTTAAGACTGGTTAGCAGAACTCCCAAGTTGCAAATTATGCGAAAACGACACGTTATATAGAGTATAAATAGTTTGTTTTGCGAAGAAAGCTTATTAGATAATCTGAGCTTTAAGATTTCCGGAAATTATGTTATTCAGTCTTTCTGCACCATGCAACGGACACTCCACTAATAATATAATATACCGATAGAGGTGAAACACGTAGGTTGAGGTTCCTTTGTTATGAGGTGTAAATGGGTGTCGCGAGTATGTCCATGTCAAAGTCTCGTCCTGTTGACTAGGTGAAATTGAATGGTAGATGTATCGTCCCACGGTTTAAGCTATGGTTTAACTTCCATTAGTTTGGAAGGATGTTATTTCTATATCTAATTCCAAAGTTCCATTATCTTGAGTTTGAAAAACCCTTGTAAATCGGCTGCTACTATTGTGAGGGTATTTGTTAATAGTCTCTTTTGATTGTTTGTCAGCCAGTTCATAACCGTTATTCGTGTATGAGATGGAACCCAAAGAAAGACTATTTTCTTACTTACAAGTTTCTGAATTACAGCTTTAATAAGCTGTACTATAGGATTTTGAGTATATAATCTAGTTACAATTGAATAAATTAATTGAATCCGTTATGGTTATGAATCTGTTTTTATTTGCTTCTCTTGCTTTGTATAAGGCGTATAGTTTTCTCCGGTAAGAATGCTACTTATCGTAGGTAGTTTGAATTTCCGAACAAAGAATACATGACCAAGAAGCGAAACTGAGTTTTCGTATGTACAAAAGGTATGTACTAAAGCAAGGGTACTTAATACACTGGAAAATATATGAAAATTAATCAGTTTTTGTCGTTTGGTTCATAAGAATTAAACACATAACGAAATAAAAACTGTAGGTACAATAATAACAGTCACTACACAATAGCGAAAGCAGATGACCTGGTCGTTCTGCAAATGTGGAATTTTGAGAACAATTATAGAACAGTGACAACAAGTTAACATAGAACTACACTCAAAAGAGCATACATTCCTTATAAACAATGCCGCCGAACCGTTGAGCGCACCTGGGAATTCTCCCCCGGAGTCGTCAAATGGACTTACATGGTCATCATAAGACCTATGTTTACATACAGTGCAGTTGTCTTGGCACTAAAAATCCAAAAATTAACAGCTATCCGCAAAACAGAACAAATTCAAATAACAGCATGTCTCAACATAACAGGAGCCATGAAAACTACACGAACCAGAGTCGTTCTTGGTCTTACTCCCCAAGGAGGTTGTTTTGAATACAATGATACGCCTCTGCAGGGTTGGAATAGAACCCGATATACGATCTGGTGAGGCGAGACGTCGCTCTTGGCAAAAGGCGCTGGATACGCTCCCACTGCTTCAAGAGAACATGGACTTCATCTCACCGAGATATATCTTTCATAAGCCATATGAAGTTATAACAAAACAAATAGAAGAGCTGGAAGGGGCAGGTACGATTCATATCTACACCGACGGTTCTAAAACAAAACTGTTCAGGATGTGGGATATACTCCAATTCCTTAAACCTCAACATAAAAAGGACCGTAAGCAATAGTGCCAATGTAGTTCACGAAGGTTTTTATAGCAGCAAAATAAATCACCAGAAACAATATCATTGGTAGGAACATGCTCATCTTAAAAGATAGTAGATAAGCAATACTCACTTCAAACAGACTACTAATTTACTCAAGGATCAAAGGTGATGCCACATCGAAAAAACACGATAAAAAATTTCCATTTTTCACACAATTAATTAATAAACTTTTATTTAAACGAAACTACTAGGATTAAAATGAAATTATAGGTTAAAGGGTCAACATTTTTGTAATATGATAATTTCAGTACGCTGGTACATACTCGATTCCATGACCTCTAGCAGTACTCTTTTATTGAATTAATAAATTACAATGTACCATATTTACCTATTATTATAGCCAGAACCTGGGGCCAACATTTTTCAGTTTCTTTGCTGGTAGATTTGATTAGCACTGCCATGTTTATAATATCATTTATTTCCCTCCGAACTTAGAAAATAACTAAAATATATATCTCTATACATTAATTTATATATCTATATATGGCTGATTAATCAAATATTTTTAACATAAAGCAGACCAAGTGAGTCCGGTATATGCTAACAATCACTAAGTAAATAAATGGTGGTCTTTTTTGAAAAATAATGATATAACAGAATGTTTATTTTAGAAATATATATGTACTTATAGATATTTTAAGTCAACTTTGTTAATTTAGACCCATTGTATTTTAAAATAAAATATTGGGGGTCTTAGTTAAATTAAAATAATATTTATTTTATAATTAGTTGATATTTGTTTTAACCAATCTCCAGACAAATCGATTAGGTAGATATTTTCCAGACATGAGATTTTTTATTATTATCTACTTTTTTAAAATATTTTACTATATATAAATGTGTAACTAAAATTAGGTACGGCCAATTTTTAGGATTCAATTTCTAATTTAAGGTTTAAGTGGACCTCCGGAAAAATTAACAACGAATTCAAAAATTTTCATAAAATTCATGGGTATATATGAGATATTGGCCAGTATCTTTCCAAATTTTAATCAAAATCGTTTGAGTGGTTTTTGAGAAAAACGAGAAAAACTGTTTTTTCCACATATAAAACTAAAAAACTGCTCGAGCGATTTTAACTATATTTTGTAAAATGATTTATTATGCTAAAATAAGAATGTGCTATTTTTTTGAAATTTTTTGAATTTACAGTTTTGGCACGAAAGAAAAAAAATATTTTAATATATTCATAAATCATTTATTCATACGTATTTTTTATAAAACCTGTTGAATATAATTAGAATAATAAACATAAGCATTTAACAAAAAAAATGTTACTGAATTGAGCGTGTTTAAAAATAAATAAATAAAACCATAATATTATTTAATATTCCCACGTTAGATTTGAATCTCTGGAAGGTGCTGCCTCTACAATAATAATCAGAACGTTTAAAAACATTTTACCAAATTAAACACAGGTAGCAGGATTGTTGCACAACGTTGCCGGTTTGCCGTTATAATTTATAATTTCAAGAAATTTATAACATCTACAAATTATATCATCGCCTCAGGTAAGATAAACAATGAAACCAGGAAGGGAAATTCAAAATTTTATATTTGATTGAAATCTAAAATTTGTGATTTATATTTATTTAGTTATTTATTAATTTTTGTTTGTTTATAATTACAAATTATAATTTTACAAAGGAAGGACATATAAATAAGAAAGGGGAATGAAGAGTTTTAAATTTTATTAAAAATCATTTTTGATTTATTTGTGTTGATTAAGTTATAGGTTGGTTTTGTTTTTTTTTTATTACGAATTTTAAATGTACACGATTGTACTTATGTATTAATTACAAAGCGTTAATAAAAATAATTTAGGTAAAATTCATTAGGCAGCTTCGTAACTAGGGGGAGGAATTCAGAAGGATAAATAAATTAAAACCAATACAAAAAAAATTAGGACTTACTCATGAGGGCTATAAGAGATTTTTGAGAGGATTTAATACATCAAAAAAACTTGTGGAATAGTAGTTAACAACTTCTTGTTGTTATGAGGATTTGGTATAACCACAGTTTATAGCTTAAAAGAATCAGTTCGCTCACTCTGTGTCGGCACTTTTGATCTCAATGTTCCAGTTTATACATTGCGCAACTCGGATTTGTATCCCTGGCGCATACAGAATCAAATCATAATAGCCCAAGGGCCTACTGTAAATTTTTACCGCCATCTGATAATGAAATAAAATATACCCCAAAACCTTGTAAAAACATTGTACTTTACCGAATGGCACCTGTGACAATTCCAATCCTGAGCAAAGTGTTTAAAAAAAATATTTTATATTAAAAAAATCACATAAGGCATGACAGCGCTAATTTTGTTTGCCCTTAAAGTTTTCCAGATAATAACATATTCAAATAAATCATGATATATATATCGTTAACGGGAAACATTTTCTTCCTCTTAACATCGGACAAAAACATCTACACACGATTAGTAGGTAAAAATAATTAAAAATGTGAATCAATTTTTGCTGATTTAAAAATTTATTTGTATGCCCATTGTTGTGATTCATTTTTACAGGTTGTCATAGAAACGACAAAAAACTACTATGATTATGGTTTAAAAGAATTGTCTAACAAGAGTTTATAATTATTTTTGACTATCTCTGCCAAAGTTAGGTAAAAATATTAATAATTCACAATGAATTAGGATTGTAATTTTCAGAGAAAACACAATTATCGCTGTTATGTCTTATGTAATTTTTTGAATATAAAATAATTTTTTTAACCACTTTGCTGTGGATTACAGATTGGCACAGGTGCAATTTGGTAAAGTACAATGCTGTTACATTTCTTTGGAGCATATTTAATTTTGTTATCAGATGGCGGTCGTAATTTGCAGTGGGCTCTCTTACTATTACCAATTAAGCATTCCAACGACCTGTCAAACAATAGCTATCAGTGAGAAGGTCTGGTATATCTAAGGGGGTAGAGACATAGTCTTGCATCTTAAACGTTTTTTTTTATTCAAAATAATAATCACAAAGCCTGCCAATTTATGAAAAAATGTTTCTTATTTTTATTGTATTTGACATAAAATATTTAAATGTAATCCATTATTCATGATTTTACGTATTCTAAACAGAATACATCGTATGTCGCAACTCTTGGATATATCAAATCTTCCCACTGGCAGTTCATTTGTTTGGAATGCCTAATACAATATATGACAACCGCTTATATTCAAACAGCAGTCTTCTGCGCATTCTGAATTTGTATCCCTGGAGTGGATGTTATTTTGGAACATCCAATTAGTCCGAGTGAGCGAACTGATTCTTTTAAGCTATAAACTGTGGTATAACCTTGGATAAAGCATTTTGACAAATAACAGTTCTGCCTTTCCTTTGGAAGAAGGGATGATTAAATCGTCGTCTGCCGTAACAGGACTTATGCTCCTAAAATTGGTGCCAGAATATTATTTTTAAGTTGTAGCAGATTTTTAATTCACATTTTTATTGATTTGTCTCTGGTGTTAGATTTTGTAAAAGCTTGTGTGACTTGATAAATGCCTGCAGAGATATTTATTTCACTTTGGATAATTTCCCAGTTCCATATTTTGAGAACGTCTACTATCCACAAGTTCTACTCCATAATGATCATAAAAAAATGTACTTCTCTTGTTAATCATTACTTTTGTGAACTTTTTATCATATTCAATCGTTTGTATGTGTAGTCCTTTAGGTGTCCAAATCACAAAATCACAATAATTTATAAATATTAAGTTATCCTTGCACTTGATAATAATATTTGTGATTCTTTTTATTACATCTATCTTCAGATAAGTAACAACAGAAATTTTTAATAGAACTTGCTGCTTCTAATGGTGTATATTCCTGGGCGGAGTAGGGACATTTAATTTCAATAATTTTGTCATCACCAACCAGACCGTCTGGCGATGTTCCTATGAACCCGTATCCTTTTTCCGTGCTAACGAATATTCCACAAGGAGTTACAATATTTTTGGTTAAAGATGTATATGCTTCTCTTGCTACATCTTCGTTGATCTTTCCATATTCCAACTGTATTAATTATGTACAGGGTTTTTCATTATATTTTGACCACTACTTATTTTCATAATTCTTGTGAACTCAAAAAAAAATTTCAAGTAAAAGCTTTTTTGTTTTATCTCAACTTTTTTGCCCACAGTATAACTCATTACAAGTAATCAATTGACAACTTTTAATAAACAAACAACTGTTTCACTTGGAAACATCATTTTCATAGCCATCTATGTGTTACGCTTGCATAGTGCAATAAGTCACTAAATAATTAAAATATTATATATTTGTAATCAGAAAATGCAAATTTACTTAAAATGACAACAATATATAGGGTGTCCCATTAAAAAAATTAAATTATATTTTGTTGGAGTCGTCCTGTATATACAATTCAGCCTGTTATTACATTTTTAGTCGGTACAGATAGAACAACATAGCTTTTACTTAAAACTTTTTTTTGTGTTTGCAATAATAATGAAAATAAATAGCGGTCAAATTATAATGAAAAACCCTGTACAAAAAAATGTACATAATTGTCTCAACCAATTTTCCGAAGTATAGTCTCCAAAAGTAGAAGCTGTGAGACGGGATTGTCTCTCCTCGAACCATTTTGGGTTATTACTTTGACCTCTTGTAGACTGTTCAATTCCGTCAGCTTCAACAATGGAGACGTTTAATAGTCCTCCTTGTTGGTCTATTAGCGTTTTGATTTCTTCTTCGCGAAAATCAGGTGTTTGGCAATGTATTCTATAATCTTTTTTAAGGTTTGAAGTTTGAAGTTTGTACTTCTGTTGCAAACAGTATTCTTCTTCATTTTTTTAACTTAACGTTTTTCTTGCTTCTTTTATTTACCAACCGTTTGAGAGTATTCGATGGAGTCTTAGCAAATTTTCTTCTGTATGCTTTTAAGAACCAACTGGGACCAAATTGATATGCTAAACTCGCAGCATTGCATCTTATATTAAAACTATTTCTACAGCCGTAAAAAGTTTGTTTGCCTTTGTAAAATTTTGCGATTTGATGCATAAATTGCTCGCATCTATTACTGGTCATATCTTTAACAATGCTGGAAGAATGTGAAGCAAAATTTCCTAATATACGAAATATTCGTAATCGCGTCTCAGTAGGGGCTTGTTTTAAACCATTTTGTATGCTTACTTGTTCATTTTAGATGTTCGTGATTCCCAAATACATGTTCCACTACATTTTGGATATCAGTTTTCACATCTTCTAGAAGAAGGATTATCTTTTTTAGCATGTATTGCAGGTTTACATATATGATTAATTCGGGTAGTGGGCAATAGTTTTTTATTTGCCAATGACTCTTTCGCTATTCCGTGTAGATGCTTGGTTAAATTTTTGGTCAAATGATTAGCACATTCTATTTTTTTAATTTT